CCTCAGCCCCTGCCCGCGGGTGAATGGGGCGCACGGCCCGTGACGCTGAGCCCGGATAAAATATGCCAGAACTGTCTTCTTGGGCTCATCAAGGCTGCGGGAGCCTCCCCAAGCCATCATCCTTTGTAATTGCAACCGTCAATCAACGCTTTAAGACAAAGTCAGAGCCGGGAAGGACGAGCCTGGAGACCAGCCTCGTAGGAAAGAAGGTGGGGGCGTGGGGGACGTGGCGGGGAAAGGGAGCGAAGTTTGCCAGGGCTTGGCAGGAGAACAGGGAGGAAACTGAGGAGGCGCACGGCAGCCGAAGCCGGAGCTGCCTCTCCGGGCCCCCCGGGTTCCCGTCTCCGGCCCCCACCTGTTACACTTCCCGCAGCTGGGGTGGATTCTTCAGTGTGCCTCCCCTAAGAGGCGGTGGGTGAGACGGCCCCGCCGAGGATGGGAGGCGTCGGCCCGCCTGCGGGGGCTTTATCATTCCAAGGCGGTGGGTGTATCTTTCTGGGAGTGCAGACCACCGCCAGCATCGACGTTTCAGCCACACAGACCCTGCTCCCCCACCCCCATCTCATCTGCTTCCCCTCCTGGGGTCCGCTTGGCCCCCCTACCTCGTGCTGCGGCCTCTGCCACCTACAACCATCCCCAGGCGACCGACCCGGCCCCGCGGCGGGCTCGGGCACCTCCGCCGCCGCCACCCTTCCCCGAGGGTGTTCTTGGGAGCCCAGCCCACCCCGGGTCACAGGGCTGCAGTGCGGAAAGGGTGCGCTTGGCCGAGGGCGGTAACGAGCGCGCGTCCGAAGCCAGGTACCGCCGCCCCTTCCTCGGCCTCTGCCCCAGGGTTGCGGACTCCGCTGCTCCCCTAAACCCCACGCGGAGCGCCCGGGGAAAGTGGACTGGACCCTCGGGTCTCTCCTGTGGGAGATTTCGGTGGACGAGGCGGGGTTTCGAGATACCCCGAGGGGATCCGGATGGCTGTGGCCCTCGGGAGCCCTTCCGTTCCTGGAACTGGAGGCCTGCAGCACCGAGGGCTCCATTTCTAAGCAGAGGAAGCTTTCTCTCGGCGTGAGACCTCCGCAATCTCGGCGCCTGGAACAGGGCTCGCATCTTACTAAGCAGGGCCGCCTGCCTGCACTGGCGCTTCAAAGCAGGCAGAAAGCTTCGGACCTTTCCTCTGAGTCAACTGTGGGCTCTTTTAAAAAGGGCGGGTTTTTAAAACATTGACCCCAACCCCCTTTCTCCCCCGTTGCCGCTGTCTTTTGTGAGGAAGCCACATGGATGCCAGCTAGTCCTTTATCACCATCCCTCCAGGTCTTTGGGGGTCTGATGGGAAGGCAGACTGGCCTAGAATGAAGACACCAGTGTGGCTTAAACAGGTCCCTTCTGGGGTTGAGGCCGGGTTATGAACGTGATCACGAAGTTTGCCACCAGCCAAGTCAGGCTCAGCCTCGAGAGCCGGTAAAATGTGTGCCACACTGCAATTAGGGGGTCCTGGCAGTCCCTGTGTCTACTTCTGACTCTCCTTAACCTCTTCCTCCTGCTCTACCAGCCAGAGGGCCTTCTCTCCCCAACCGAGGGCAGCACCGGGCCCCTGAGCTGTCTGCCTGGGGCTGGGAAGGCGCCCATAGGCTCCTTGATTACCGTGGGAGGGGGTGGTTCTTACATGAAGGCTTTGTAATCAACTTATTCCCAAAGTTCATCTGAACCCACAAGTCAAGCCCTGTGAGCACTGATTTGAGCTCCGAGACTTACTCCCTTTCTGAACTTAATTCACGAAGATACTGAAAACTAGGAACACTGAGAATAAATGAATGTTGCTTGATACTGTCACCAACATCTGAGCATCTTAAGGGCCACTAATCTGGGCAAACTCAGCCCCCTCCTCTTCACAAACTAATGGGCAGCCAACCCACCAAGTTGAGATGTTTTCATGAAACCTGCAGATGCTACTAAAACAGATTTTTAAAGTTTAAATTTGAACTTGGATTCTGAATACTAGATACTGAAGAGCAAAGTAACAACCAGTTTAGAGAGGCAGCAGTGTGGCCAGGCACGGGTAGAGGAGGAACTCCTTCCGGATAAAACCATAGGTTAGGCATGACAATGATCGGAGTATTTTTCAGTTCATCAAATACTGGACCCGGCACTTTGAATGTGTGATCTCTACGCCATTCAAATAGAATAAATTCAGAGCTTTTGAGATTCAAATTCAGCCCCTTGTGGGTGGACTCTGATAATCGCCAGGCCGCACAGCAGACACTGAATATAAGGCATTTCGCGTGCAGTCGGGAGGCTGGGGAGATGTTTTCATCTTGCTGGGATGAGATCTGAAAACTTAGAAGGTGGGGCTGCGCTGGTGGCTGAAAAGCTTGCATAACAGATGGTTCTTTAAAACTTTTTAAAGTGCCGGCCCTCTGGGCCTCATGTGGCTGGTCCCACCCAAGAGACCAGAATGAAAAAAGGAAAGCCCAGACGCATCTCCGCATTCTAAATGAAAACGCAGTTCACGCAAACTTAGGAAGTCCGCCGCCAAGATAATCTTGGGCTCGAGGAAGGGGATGGTGCATATAAGTGAGCCCAGGCACTGGGGAAGGGTGGGGAAACGGGGTTAGCTGTTCCAATTCCCAACAAGTGAGGGAACTTGCGGCCACACGGCTGCCCCCGTACCCCCCGGGGGAGCAGGTGAGCCGCGCTTCGAGCTCGGCCGCTCCCGGGGTCGCGGGGGCTGAGTGCCGAGAGGAGTGAGGTGGAGACACCCTTGAGAGCAGGTTAGCTCCTCTTTTCTAGGTTGTTTTAATGTGTGTTTAACTCTTCGTGCTGCCCCTCACCGACGCACACCGGGGGCGCGCCCATCCCCACTCCCACCCCCGTCCCGCTGGCTTCCCCTGCGCGAGCCGCAGTCTCCGCACCAGCTTCCCCTCCTTGGCCGCCGCGTTCAGACAGAGGTCGCCTCTCGCCCGCTGTAAGCCCCGCCGCGCTCGCATCCCCCGCCCGGGCCAGAGAGGGGTGGGAGGGGGCGAGGCGGGGTGAAGAGGTTGGGGCAGGCGAGGGGACCGGAGCCTGCGCCTCGTCCTCATTGGCTGGCGTCTGGTGTCCGACCCGAGCCCGGAACCCGCGTCCCCATTCACTGTCATCACCCCTCTTCCCAGCCTTCCCCTTACCCCGGCCCTACTTACCTCCCTTCTCCTCCTCTTCCTCCCCCTTCCTCCCCGGGCGCCCTCGGAGCTGGAGAGGACTGCTCTCCGTCAGGCGCCGGCAGACGAAGCAGCAGAGGGAGGCTGGAACTTCTTAACTCAGCGCTTGCAGCGAGCGGAGGGAAGCGGAGACGGGGAAGGGGCGGAGAGGAGAGTGAGGCCAGAGAGCGCGCGAGACTGAG